GCATCGCTTACAGTCACGGACCAATTTTATGAATTTTTGCATGTAGATGGTTTGGCAATCAGCACCCTATATTTTTGGTAAAGATCGGTTAATATTTAGGGGATGGACCAATGGTCGCTCCAGAGGCGGCAATTATGGCCCAAACGTCGCGAATTTTCATATGGAGAAGCCGATCGGGCCAAAAAAGAAGCATGACTGTTTTGATAAAGATCGGTCAATATTTAACGGGTCAAATGGACCCTGACTTTTGTGTGAACCAGTAAGGAAAGTAGTAAAGTCGGACTGGGCCGACTATATGATACCCTTCACCACTTTGGGTATATTCTAGATATGTGTCCTAACAAACGTCGCGTTTTTGATATATACCTATATCTGAACAGATTTCAGGGAAATTTGCCAGAGACTAATTTATATTATTTCAGTACGTTGTGTCAATCGTCCTAGCTATGTATATTTTCACGAAGCTTAGCACACATCATTCTAGACTAAGTCCAGCAACCTGTACCAAAAATCTTGCAAATCGTAAGATATATAGGGATTTTGGTGCACCAATTACATAAAATCGGACGAAACTATATAAGGGAGCTATAGCTAAATCTGGACCAATTTTCACGAAACTCAACAAACATTATTCTAGACTGAATTGAGTACGCTATGCCATATTTCGTGCAAATCGAAACATATAAAGGGACTTTGGTGCACAAATTACCTTAAATCGGATGAATATATATATGGGAGCTATATCTAAATCTGAGCCGATTTTCACGAAACATTGCACATATCATTCTAGACTTAATTCAGTACGCTATGCCAAATTTCGTGCAAATCCAAGGATATATAGGGACTTTGGTGCACCATTTACATAAAATCGGTCGAAACTATATATGGGAGCTATATTTAAATCTAAACCGATTTTCTCTAAACTTGGCACACATCATTCTGGACCTAATTAAGTACTCTGTGCTAAATTTCGTGCAAATCGAAAGATATAGAGGGACTTTGGTGTCCCATTTACCTTAATTGGACGAAAAAATATGGGAGCTATATCTAAATCTGAACCGATTTTTTCAATAGGGTTCGTCCTTGGGCCGAACGAGCGACTTGTGCCAAATTTCATCCAAATCGGATCATAAATGCGACCTGTACTTTGTTCACAAAAATACATGGACGGACAGACGGACAGACGACTCAGAAAGTGATTCTATGCATATTCTCAAAAGGAACCATGTGTCTATCTCGTTTCCTTTTGCCTGTTACGAACATATGCACAAAGACATAATACCCTGTACTACAGTGTGGTGAAGGGTATAAAAATGACAACATTTGTATTCTATGGCGTATATATTTATCCCTGAAGGACATAGACCCGAGAAGTTGATACTATATCCCAGAGGAGTGGTTGACCTTTAAATTGGTACCAATTATATTGTCGTACGTACTCGGATGTGGGACTTACACGTAAATATGTACAGGTGCATACGTATTCAGATATTATTTAGTAATCCATTACCACATTAGAGGGCGGAAATATAGCGCTGATCGCTTTGAAATTTTCCATGAGGTCCTAGTTATAGTCAAGGACAATGCACATAACTTTTGGTGATGGTCAGATTATACTTATGGGATGAAGTGGACCGAATTTTTTGTGTTTTTTTCGATAATAAGCCAAAAATCACAACACAACCCACGGTGAAGGGAATCTGGACAATTAACTAGAAGCGCTGTGCTGAATTTGAGTGATATTCGGAAAATATGTCAGTGTAAGGAAGAGCTGCTGTGGACCTCTAATCGGGCAAGAGGGAGCAAATATCACGAAATATTGCCCAAGCTCGGAATACACATCCGCAGAAAGTTAGAGTTCTGTGGTAGTTGTGTGGGGTATCGTATGGTCGGCCACTATACTGCTCCGCTCACTGGTTATACCCTTCACCACACTGTGGTACAGAGTATTATGTCTTTGTGCATATGTTTGTAACAGGCAAAAAGAAACGAGATAGACACATGGTTCCTTTTGAGAATATGCATAGAATCACTTTCTGAGTCGATTTATGCATGTCCGTCCGTCCGTCTGTTTGTCCATGTTAAATTGTAAACAATGTACAGGTCGCATTTATTATCCGATTTGGATTAAATTTGGCACAGCTCACTTATTTGACCCAAGGACGAACCCTATTGAAATTGGGAAAAATCGGTTCAGATTTAGATATAGCTCCCATATATATTTTCGTCTGATTTAAGATAAATGGGGCACCAAAGTCCCTATATATGTTTCGATTTGCACGAAATTTGGCATTGCATACTGAATTAGATCCAGAATAATGTGTGCCAATTTTCGAGACAATCGGTTCAGATTTAGATATAGCTCCCATATATAGTTTCGTCCGATTTAAGGTAAATGGTTCACCAAAGTTCCTATATATCATTCGATTTGCACGAAATTTGGTATAGAGTGCTAAACAATGTTCAGAATGATGTGTGCTAAGTTTCGAGAAAATCGGTTCAGATTTAAATATAGCTCCCATATATATGTTGGTCCGATTTAAGGGAAATGGTTCACCAAAGTCCCTATATATAATTCGATTTGCACGAAATTTGGCACAGAGTACTGAACTGTGTCCAGAATGATGTGTGCTAAGTTTCGAGAAAATTGGTTCAGATTTAGATATAGCTCCCATATATATATGTTCGTCCGATTTAAGGTAAATGGGGCACCAAAGTCGCTATATATCTTTCGATTTGCACGAAATTGGGCATAGCGTCCTGAATTGAGTATAGAATGATGAGTGGAGAGTTTCGTGAAAATCGGTTCAGATTTAGATATAGCTACCATATATATTTTCGTCCGATTTAAGGTACTTGGTGCACCAAAGTACCTATATATGTTTAGATTTCCACGCAATTTGGCATAGCGTACTCAAATAAGCCTAGACTGATGTGTGCTAAGTTTCTTGAAAATCTGTTCAGATTTAGTTATAGCTCCTATATATGTTTTCGCCCGATTTTAGGTAAATAGTATACGAAAGTCCCTACATATCATTCGATTTGCACGAAATTTGGTACCGCGAACTGAATTAAGCCTAGAATGATGTGTGTCAAGTTTCGTGAAAATCTGTTCAGATTTAGATATAGCTCCCATATATATTTTCGTCCGATTTTTGGGTAGATAGTGCACCAAAGTCCCCCTATATCCTTCGATTTGCCCGAAATTTGGCATAGCGTCTTGAATTGAGTATAGAAGGATGAGTGGTGAGTTTCGTGAAAATCGGTTCAGATTTAGATATAGCTACCATATATATTTTCGTCCGATTTTAGGTAAATGGTGCACCAAAGTAATTATATATCTTTCGATTTGCACGAAATTTGGCATAGCGTACTAAATTAAGTCAAGAAAAATGTGTGTTTGTTTTCATGAAAATCGGTTCAGATTTATATATACCTCCCATATATATATATGTATATATATATATTCGGTTGATTTTAGGTAAATAGTGCACCGAAGTCCCTATATATACATCGATTTGCACGAAATTTGGCATAGCGTCCTGAATTATGTATAGAATGCGGAGTGGTGAGTTTCGGTAAAATCGGATCAGATTTAGATAAAGCTCGTAAATATATTTTTGTCCTATTTAAGGTTAATGGTGCACCAAAGTACCCTTCGATTTGCACGAAATTTGGTATAGCGTACTGAATGAAGTCTGGAACGGTTTGTGGTAACTTTCGGAAAGTATATACTATAAGGTTTCCATGAAAAATTTAGTTTGAAGATTCTTGAATAATTTTCCAATAAAATTAATAATATGTGAGTAGATAAAAATCATCGATTTATATGTCCCGATCAATTTTAGCTATTTTGAGTCTCCTATATGTTAGACTATATAAAAAGCGTATGTGGTAGCTATTTAATATGTTATGAAGTTGGTAGAAACTTCCCAGCTATTAAGCCTTACTTACCTATTCATCCTCAATTATTTCACAAAAAATTCCCATGGTGTCAGGTATCACATTGTCAGCCCAGCTGACGGCATAAAATTTAGATTTAATAATAATTCTTTTTTTCTACAAATACGAACTAATTAAAATAATAATAAGTACTAAAATAGGAAATATAGCATAGATTTCTGTTCGAGGATGACATGTTGAGATCAAATTTGTAATATCATCATCACTGTGTTCGATACCATCACGTGTTGGTACTTCAACGACGACAATTTCATCGGAAAGGAAGCGAAGGGGAAAACTGCAACTTGTCGCATTAATACAAACCTGAGAATCGCTATTATTCGAATAGAGAAAAGTCGGCTTGTATATATCAAATATGGCATGTATATCATTGCGTACTAAATCGTTGTCACTATAGAAAATATAATAGTAATAACCATCGGCATCAATTTCGTGGATAGACAACATACGATGTGATCCATTCTCTAGGAAGTGGGGATTGGTACACTCAGCAATGGGTGGAAAATCACCAAAGGATAGTTTGTTGGTTTTAAAACATTCTAGAAGACCGGTTTCGAAACTCGACACCGAATTCGATTCATCGGTTTCGGTGAAATTCATGGCATTACCACCATGGGTATATTTACGATCATAGATTTGATCACGCTTCTGACGACGGGGTACGGGGGTTTTGTATAATTGATTGTAAAGTTGTTGTCGTTGATTTTCTTTCGCTTCGTTGTGTTGATCGCGGTGTTTGTTGTGCGAACGTTTTTTGGAGGACTTTTTGTTATTCCGATTTTTTTGTAGGTGTTGTTTGAAATATTTTGGGGAGCCATTTTTTAATTTTTTCCTTGGACGTTTTGTTGTTGTTGTAGTACTGGGGTATATTGAGTCGCTGTCTAACTCCCCGTCATAGTCATAATCTTCAAAAAAAACTTCACCACCTTTATTTTCCATTTCCATTAGGGTATCCGTGATAGGAATATATTTCGAGCTTCCACTTACATTGCTCACCTGATTCACCTCCATCTCCTTAATATCCTCAAAGAATACTCTCACTTGTTCATGATCCTGGGGATAATTGGCACCATATTTGTTGCGATTATGATCGAGCAAACCACACGTATCCAATTCTCGGGCACCCTTAACCACCAACATTCGGGCGCCATCATAACGTGAACAAAATTTCAACAGAACCCTTGCACCTTTCAACAAATAAAATCCCCAATATTCAAAAGTATCATCGGGTAGGGTCATCGATTTTTTCAGTCGAATATGTTTGTGATTTGTCGATATTTCCGGTTTACTGCTCAACTGAAAAGCATTGAAATGGGTTTCCATTTTCAATGAATGCTGTTTACAGAAGATCGATGATATGCCATCACGAATTTCGATTATATCCGATTCCGCCACCGGATAGATGACATCAGCAAAGACCCGCCTCTTCAGGTGCAAAGGAATCATAATCAAGGTAAACGGCAGCACCACAATCAATATGAAGAATATCAAAACCCGTTTAAAGCCATTCAATTTGCGGTTTTCTGAAAACAAAAATTAAAAATAATTAATTTTTTTAAAATTCGAAAATATTTTTCTTTTCATTTTACCCACCATCAAACCGATAAACTGTTGTTTCTAAATGTTTATCATTGCCCAAGATCCCTTGTTTTTCCATTGCCATTTTTGTTTCTTTGCTAAGCATTTTTTAATTTTTCATATCTTTATTTTTTCTATTTTTTTGTTTCAACATAGACGAACGATCTTAGCAAATCCGTAACTGTATATCAAATGAACCTCAATTTTCGGTAGTGGCAATAAAAAGCCCCCGCCGTAACCCAAAAAATGTCTTCTCATTGTAATCACTTACGGCCCACCCCCTCAAATAAAGGTTATCTAAAAAAGAGCCTCATATCAGTTATCACCATATCAAAGAAAATATACAACAAATCCAATTCAAGGTAGTCATTGGCAACGATTTGCGCTATGCCTCTTGTGGTAGTTTGCCTCCATTCTATAAATGCGTGATATAGGCTCTAAAGTTTATTTATAAATAATTTCCCATAATGATGTGTTGTGTTGATGGTGCGTCTGGCTGGAATGGTGTGAACATATCAGTTTAACGATTTATTTGTTTTTGGGGCCAAACTTAAGACCTCTCCAAATCTATGGAATATCAACAAAGAGTTGTTTATAATAATTAAAAAGGAAATTTTCCTCATTCGCAATATCTTTAAAGAAGTACGTTCCAAAGCTGTCACCAGAACGTGCGGTTTATAGTGACTAATTCTGGATACATTGGTAGTTTTTGCAATGATTCTGTAAAATGTTGCCCTCCAAATGTGACAATTCTGCTTATTTACGTATCCATTGAGCCATATTTTGATTCGTCCCTGAACACTATTTGTATACTCTCCACGATAGTAAGGAGGGTCAATTTTGTTTTTTCCTTTGTAAATCGTCGAAATAATACATTGGCCCTATAAAGTAAAATTCTATGACGATTTAGACAGGTCCGGCGAATTGAGGTATATCGACAAAAATTTCGGCCCTTTTTCATACCATACAAAACTATGTTGTCAGGGTATTATGGCTTTGTGCAGTCCCAAGAATTTTAACGCCATAAATATTTGTCCGAGGCCTACATAGTTATGGACCAATCCTCACGAAATTTTGCATGTAGGATCCTTTAATATTTAGGTGATCAGATGGACCAAAAA